AGCTTTGCAAGCTTAATGGTTTCTTGCAAGTGTTTCTTTCCACGTTCTTTAGGCTAATATGGATAATTTTTAAATTCCTGTGTTACACCACTGGACACCCCTTACTTGCTTGGTGCTTGTGGTGCCTGCTGCTTGTAAACTTTATTTACTGAATGTGCAGCAAACAAACTCATTGATGCGTTCTCGTCGCTGTCCAGGGAAAGCGTTTTCTCTTTTTTCTTTCCCTTTTTATTTTTGTTTTTGTTTCCATGATGAAACATTTGGTATAAAAATGAAAATTCTTCAAGTTAGGAAACAAAATTTGTGCTCTAGCAGTGAGAGTTTTTTACTTGGTTTTGGGATTTCTCTCTTAGTGAAATTATTTGCTAGAGGAAAAAGGAACGAAATTAGATGGATTTCGAGAGTACAACAGATATATCGATAACTGGAGTCTTGGAATTTTTCCTTTCTTCGTTTTGTCTTTTCTCTATAGAGCCTGAGAACTGATGAATGATTTTATGGCGATTCGATCGAAAAAATAAAGAATGACTGGAAATTTTCAACTTTTTCGTAAATTAGCTTGACTTTGCTGGCTGATGATGTCTTCATCACTTGATACACACGCGCAGTCACAAAATTATCATCCATACGGCATATCTTTGGGACATCTTCTATCTTCATTTTTTTACACTTATTTTGTTTTCAACACTGTTGGACGCTGCTGCTGTTGTTGAATTTGGTGCATTTGTCTGAAGTCTTGGGAAGGGAGGAGGGGATAGAAAGGCGGTCTTGTTTCATAGTTTTTAGATTTTTTCTCCGGTGTAAAGGATGGGGAACAAACTGGGGATATGGAATAAACCGGCGAGATGGAGGAGCAGGAGAAAATAAAAATTAGAGATAAATTTTTTTGCATTTTCGGATTATTCTTTTTTCTCTTGTAATTTTTTTTGTACTTCTTTTCCTAAGGTGTTTAGGGTGGACAGATAGATAGGTGAGTGATGGGGGAACATTGGATGTAGTTTTCGTTCACCTTCCCCTTCTTTGTTCGGCTTTTCCTATTTAATTCTCCTCCTCTCTAGTTGTTCATGAAGTGATTTTAGAACACTTGCTCAAAGGAAATAGAAATAAGTGAAGGAAGAGAGAGAGGCAAGAGAACGGAGGCTGTTTTCTGTTTATTTTTTGACCGTATCTGTAACGTTTTTCAAGTTGCTGCAGGAAAATTGAAAATAGAAAGTAGAAAACAGTGCAGATCAAGTTTTTGTTTTGATGATTTTGATTACAGTGTTTTTCGAGTGTTTGAGAAGGAAAAATTGTTTCTCATAACGCGTTTAGTTTAATAAACTTTTTATGAATTTTTGGACTTGCATAAGAAGGTTGATTTTGTATTAAGTCTCTCTGTTGCTCTCCACAATTTTTCTTGTAAATTTAGTTCTGTAGTGGTTGCTGATTATGCACGGCTATGGCTGTCAGAACTACCATCTTCTTCAGTTAAAAATAATTTCTTTAGTTGCCTTTTTTATTCGCTTATTAACAGTTATAGTCATATTATGCGATGCGGCACCTTTGACTCAGTTAAAAAATTCTGCAAATTGTTTTTTTGAATCTCCTTTATAGACGTCATTTTAGGGTTTTATCAATGGAAATGTTTATGTTCATATTTAACACTTGCTTGGAAAGATAGTATTTGAGAAATTAGCGCGCACCGCATACGCATGTGATGTAAGGCTGCTGTGTGTTTTTGCAGCTTTCTGAACGTTGGCTAGTGCTTCTCGATACCATAGATCTTTTACTACAATTATTCTCAGCAGGAAGTTTCGATAAGATTGCGTTAATTTTTTTGCCGAATTCGACCTGTTAGAAAAGCTATAAATCTATACGGTTTTCCTCATGGACCAGAATATAAAAACTGAAACGACAAATATCTGTAATCATAATTGTTTCGTATTTTGTTATCAAAGTGCCGATATTATAAAACATTTTTCCTCTGCGTCATTGCTTTTGAGGCGGAACTTTATGTCTGCTGAAATCATTTTTTGCTGGTGTTGTAATTTAATAAAATTCTTCAGATTTCTGAGAATCATTTTTGTTTTGAATTTTAAAGATTTTTATTGAACTCTTATTACTCGTTAGGCTAGGCGAAGCAAATATTGATAATAGCTGTTTACGGTATTTAACAGGGCTTCAGAACTTTTCCAGACATTTATTTTTTTCTTTTGCTTTCAGATGGAGCAGGAAGGTCAAACAAGCGACTCAGGAATTCATCATAATCAAGGTATAATTGCTTGTGGAAAATGTATCAGTAACACAGCAAAAAGTTTATACCACTTGTTTTTTTCGAAATTGAAAGTTACTGCTGTTTTTGCTGCGTTATTGTTTTGTAAAGATCTATCAGAATTTTGTAGTACTTTTTCTCAAGTATCTTTTAGCCGTGAGTAAGCTGTTGAAAATTTTTATATTTGTCATAAAAGTTTGGTTTTGGTGAAAGATAATCAGGATGCTATCTTCACTACAGGTGAACACGAGCACGAATCGCTTGTTGGCAATTTGGAGATACCTGGCAGCAGGCAGGAGGAATTCAGCCAGAATATACAGCATAATATACCTGGGGTGACTCTTGTTCCTGCTGATAGAAGCGGTATAACTACTGGGGAGTTAGATCAGCACCTGAACTTTGAAGATGAACGAAAAACTGTCGAGGGCAAAACAGCTAAAGAACTTGTTTCTGACGTTATAGCTACCGCAGCTGAAGCTAGCCGGGAAGAGCCGCAGTATTATACTGAAACCACTTTGCAGCTGCACCCTGAAGCGACAGAGTCTAAATTTGAGCTGGAACACCCCAGAGTAGAACAGGGACTTCTTGAGCAGTCTGATTCGCCGAGGGAAATGACAACTAATACACTGGGCACAACGGAAGAAAGTCCTTTGCATTTAAAAACAAAACAGGAAAGCCACGCCGAAGAAGTCAGCGGGATTTACCTTAAAGAGGAGGAACATGCTGCAGAGGAGAAGCATGAGCTTCCAGCAGCAAAACAAGGATTTGAACAGGAAAAGCCTGTTTACTCGAAAGAGGAACAAGAAGGTACACAACTAGTAACGGGTAAGGTCTCTTTAATTAATCAGTGAGATTGATTTGTAGACCAAATATACTTTTTTTAACGGGTTTATAATTCTTTTCTAGGATTTGAAGCCGGAGCAGGTGGAGAAGAGGTGAAGATGCCAGAAAAAGAGGCAGGCTGTTTTACCTAGTTTTTAGTATAAAGAATAAATACTGTTTTTGTTAACTGTGAAGTATTCAATTTCGTTTACTTATTCGGTAATGGTTGAGGAACCTGTTAATTATGAAGTTTTTCAAAGTTTTAGGCAGTGAAAATATTCAGATATTTTTGGTGGTTACGTTTTCTTTTTTTAATCATTTGTGAAAAAAAAAAATTAAAAACTGAGATTATAATTGCTGTTTTTATAAAGTTTTGTTGTTTGTCATTGTTAGTTTGTTCCAAATTTCATTTGCAGGAAGAAAAAAGTTTGGAAAGCCATGATTCAAGTGCTGGCTCGGCACCACCGTTGAAACTACATCAGTAAGTGTTCGATTTAATAAGTATTTTGATAGGCGGAATCTCTCAGACACCATTAAATCAAATAAGTTTAGTGGTATTAAACAAGTTTTATAGGATTCGTAAGGTAAAAAACTCACTAGACTAAAAAATTCCATTTTTCTTTTTCATCGTTAAAGTGCTGTGGTATTTCAAAAAATTGGTCGTTGTCTTTAATACTGACAGTCTTACTTGTGTCTCTTGTCGGTTTTTTTATTCTAACCATGAATGAGGATAATTTTTTGCGTTGTGCTTCGTCTTTCAGTGGGTTTGAAGAGAAGCCAAGACCCCCAACACCACCGAAACCGTTGGACGATGAACTAGTAAAACCGACGAGTATTCATGTTGGGGCTCCACTTCATAAATGTTAGTTAATGTTTTTTCTGTGGTTAGATTTACCAATTTTACTCTTTTTTGTCTAGTATTTCAAAATTTTTTTAATCAAATACTTCCAAGATCTGTTATTGTTACTGTACTTTTATGTTAGTTATATAAACACGGATGATGATTTGGTAGCTTAGTCTACATACTGTTTACGGCTGACTCAGTGATGCAGATTACTTCGCTTGCATCGCATAAATTACTGAAACTTAGTAGTGCAACAAAAGAAGGATAGGTGATTTTTTGTGCTGATTCCTACTCTTGAACAACTGTAACGACAGTATAACATTCTTATGTTTCATTGAAATTCGTTGACTGAATAATCATTGATTTTCACCCACAACTACTTTCTCCAAAAGCTTCTTTGAACCAGAAAAAAAGGAGGAGAAAAAAGGAAGGGTTGACGGATCGATTCTTTCACTACTTTCTCTCCTAGTAAAGTGAATGTATCATTCATATGAACTTTTGTTATAGATAATGATCAAAAAACAATTAAGTTCATTCAGTTTTTTGCAGCTTCGCATACTGAACATCCACACTCAATTCTAAAACATGGCAAAGGTGAATGCTGTTCCTTCAAAAATTTAGATCCGAGACGTAAGTTGCAGTTTATAGCTATATTTTCATGAATAGGCAACTGGTATTTGCATGAATGATTTATCTCAGTGTTAAAAGAACAAGAATAAGATTAGGTGCATGCACGTTTGACTATTAAATCATTTATGCAAAAAAAAAAATCTTTACAGGTTACCAAATGCTGTCGTTAAAGGTGTAATCCATTTATTTTGAGAAGCGCATTATTCCAGTGCATCCAATCATTTTTTCTAAGCATTTATTTATTTCTTTTCTGTTTGTTGTTGGAAGTTTTGGGAATGCTTCTTTCTTTGGTTTTTTGACTGTATCAGACCTAATCGAATTTGGAAGCCTTGAGAAACAATTGTTAGGCATTCCAGAAGTGTACAGCTTAAGTCCGAACAGCCACAATACCGTTCATCATTCAGTTTGATTTGAAGCTATACTTTTTTTTTCTACGCAGTATAGACATGAGTATTTGGTTGGTTGTTTAGTCAGTAGGTTTATTCTTTTTTTTTTAATTGGTCAGTTGGTTTTTACGATTGTACTTGGTGTTAAATTTCATTGTACAGGAGGGCTTGGAAGAAGTATGAAGCTTATCCTTAGTTGAACCGTGCCAGAACATTTTTTGTTGTGGCTTTTTGCAGTGAAAAAACCTGTATGGGCCTCGAGGTTTAGTTTTTCGTTAAACAACATTGATTAATATAACTTTTTTTTGCGTGTTATTCTTCGTTTTAGAGTGGAAGGCAGAGAAGGAAAAAGGATCTTTTTTGTTTTGCATTTCGGCAAGAATAACTTTGACAAAGAGCTACTGCGACTTTCACACCAATTATTTGTTATACGTTGGCGCTGTATTGAAAAAATAAAGCTGTCATGCTGAACCAAAAGTGAACAGAAGCGAAATTGTAATGTTTAATCTAAGTGTCAATGAACCGTAGAAAGAAAATGATCACAACAAAATCAATATCATCACCTCAGTTTATTTTCTTCTAACTTCTTAAACACCATTCTGTCTCATTTTCAATATCGTTCGTATTACCGGTATTCAACTGCTGCTATTATCTGTTGTGGGTCTTTAGTTTGGTTTGAGAATTCTGCTGTTGTTGCCCCCGTGGAAACTGACAGACTTCGACCATACTCTATCAGTATTTCATTTTTTTTTTTTTTTGGTTGAAAAAATAAGGAATATTATTTGCAAGCTATAAAATCAAAGAGTTTAGTTTTGTTCAAACGGATGTAGATGCAGAAAGCGAATAAACAAGCGTGCAGTATGCATTACAGACAGTTTGAAAGGGTTTGGGGTGGAAGAGAGGAGGCAAAAAGGAAAGCTCAGAAATATAATTGTAGGAAGGAATTACTGGTGCAGAAAGAGGGGGGAGGGGAGTGGCGGTGCAGAGAGGATTGAAAATGAAGGGCATGATTGTTATTTCTTTCTGCTTTTGGGTTCGGGTTTGCGATTTCTCATTTCTTGCAAATGAGCTTTTCTTTTTTTTTTTTTTTTTTTTTTTTTTTTT